CAGCTGAGGCTTTTCTCTGGCTGAAGAGGGGAGAACAGGGAGTGGACAGCAGTACAGGATAAGTAGCACTACATCCACAAGAGAGAGCATTGCCTCCTCTCAGCTCGCTCAGCCCACAAAGACAAACAAGCAGCATTGCCTATTTAGGAGTAGTGCGCTGGGCTGGTGAGAGCATTGTTCCATGTGTTTCATCAACTCTGTCATCTACACTCAGGCACACACCCTCTCTTTCAGCCTCTGTCTCTCTGCTCCATCTGCAAGAATAATTGATGAAACTCTCTTCTCAACAAAAGCATGCCTCTGCCTTAATAAACTTACGGGCACCAATGCTCCCAGTTGCCTTAGTGTGGCAAATGTCCTGCCTTTGGCCCACTGGAGAGAAGACCCCACAGGAACTGACATTCAACAGCTTCAATGAAAATGATTGATATAAATTATACACTATACATACCAGGCTTTATGAATGAATCATCTGTAACTGTGCTTTTAGATTTGGACACTGCTTTTCAGCTGATTTTACATCAAAAATTTAAAATAAAGAATTCTAAGACACATATTGTAGTCTTTAAAGTGATTTATAAATTGCTGCAAAAAAAACACTTAAAAATCAAGTCCTAGAGAAAGAGCAGTCTTTTCAAGTCGAAAGCGGGTTAATTTAATACTCAGTAAAGTACAAAATTTTTATGAGTTTTGAAGGATGGTGAAGTCATATTGGAGCCACAAGGAGGTCGAGTGTTCCAGAAAAGGGGCTGTAATCTCCAAGTCTCTTTAATGACATCAAGCATTTGGTTTGGCAGCTGCCCAAACCAGAAGGGAGGAGAAGGAAAGCTGATGTATGTTTTAACAGTTTCGAGGCACACACGGTACCTTTGGGCTCTGCTGTTCAATATACAGAGGCCAGCAGCACAATAATATCACTACACACCTTTTGATCTACAAGATATAGATCTAATGTAATCCAAGAAAATAGTCCTGCAGCGATTATTCCCTGCATTACATTACACATTCGGACATTACAGCATGTATGAGGGAGGGGTTGTCAAATTATTAGGTACAGTTAACTTTATAGCACAGAGCAACACAACAGTTTCACTAATGATGTCCTCAAGAAGGACGACAGAGCTGAATCTACACCTCTATGACACTATGTCAACAAAATGAAATATTATCAGCTCCATTAATAGGTCTTTTTATTGCAGGACTATTGCATCAGGTTACACTACATACTGTTATTGGTTATCAGTGGTGAAAGAACTTGTGTGAAGTAGCAATACCACACTATTTATATACTTGAGCACAAGTCTTATTTATAAGCATTATTTTAATGTTAGAGCTGAGTTAACTTTAAGTGCTTTATATATTTTTGTGAGGTTTTGGTTGTAACAGTGCATCATATTTTCCAAATATTGTATAATATTGTATTATTGTATAATAATTTAAAGAGTAAACAAGTACAATATTTCCCTCTGAAATGTATAGAGGAGTAGAAGTATAAAGTAGCATAAAATGCTCATTCTTAATTAAGTACCTTAGTCCTTGAATACTTTTCCATTAAAGTTATTATATAGTATATAGCATTATAGTTTTATTATCAACAACGTCGTTTTTCACGTTGAAAGGAAAATCCATAGAATAAGACTCACTCGGTGTCAGAGAACAAATAGGCTTCATTTTGTTAACTGATCCAAAATATAAAAACATGAACATATAGGATGGACGTATAGAGATATAGGCAGATAGATAGCCCACAATACATGCCATTGCAGTGCCAAACAAAGCGCATCACCTGTTACGCACATTTCAGTAGCCTATTTTTCAGTAAGTACCTTCAGTGTAAGAGAGGATGTAACTGACTCTAATTATGCCGGAAACCTCCAACAGATAAGATAATAGCAGCAATCACGCATTTGGCACAACTGTACTTAAATTGGCCAAATAAACAGCCTTGTGGTAAACGTCTTCAGTTGTGCTGCCTGTTTGTTATCACCTGAAGTGAACTGAGCAGCTGCCTAATAATCGGAGTTAAACACAGCTACGGTGTTGGACTCACCTCTACAAAGCGAACAGATGAGCGTCTACACCAGCAGTGCGTCCGGTGGGCTTTGCTTAGAGGTAAAAATCTGCGGAGGCAGCGCAGCTTTAAAAGACGAGCCGAGAAAAAAAAAACACATCTGCGGACATGAGCCAAACCTCTGTAAGCTCTTGTAAACAATGACCTCAACCAGGAATTTACAAGCTCTCTTAGTAAAGTTCTCATTGGCGCTGCACTCCAAGCAAACGGGATCATGCAGAAAAGAAAGTCAAAACTTTTTCTGCATCAAGACCACTGAGACTTAACAATTACATTTTTTGTGTGTGTTAGAGGCAGGCCTGCATTGTGCAGGGGTCTGCACTTATGATATGAATTATCATAACAACATTTGAAAATGTCTATTGTTTACAAAAGATGAGTGACTTGTCAAGTTGACACACTTTTGTCCTACTTCTCTGTTGGCCCCACTCGTCTCCTTCTTTGGTAATGAATAGAGGAATTACATCAAGATGACTCATTCTCAACCCGAAGTAAATACACGCAGCCTGTAAACGTAACCCTCAAGGTTAATCCATCACATTTACAAATGGATGATGAAATGCCCAAAAGGTGTTCCTGTTATATAACACAGATGCCAGCTTTTAGATCAACCGCGTCACTGAGACTAAACAGCCGTTTGCATCACAGTTTGAATCTCCATCCACGGAGATAAACATCTGACTAAGTTTAAGAAAGAGGTGAGTGAGGATTCATTTGTTAGTAGGCTACAGTGAGGGTGAATATTTGAAGGTCATGTCCGGTGTGTTTGTTACTCAAAATATGGCTTCCTATAAACTATAGCTCCAGTTTCCTGCAAAACCATGTTGTAATAAATGTCTTCTTCTTAACCATCTGTATCTGCACATGTACCACCTTATAAATGAGCTCTCAATAGTGACCCCTTACTGTACAGGACTGTATAATTAATTAGCAAACATCATTAAAGTCTGTTATTCCATTGGATCTGTGTTCTGTGGTCTGTGCAGGTCCTGTTGTCATGAACATCTGGCTGGAGATGCTTCACCCTGCATATCTGCAAGCTTAATGGCAGGATGTAATTTTACAAAAGGGGCATTTAGGGGGGGCAAACAAGAATCCAGTATTTGGGTAATTCAAATGACACAGAATGTGTTGTTGTAATAGAATATGCGACAGACCTCTTGTCTTCCAGTTTGTGCTGTCCCCTTTTTAGTGGGAGTGAAGCAGGGCATCATTGATTATCCCCTGCTGTTACCTAGCTATAGAAGCCGGTGGATTCGGTCACTCTGCCTGCCTCTCTCTGGGCATATGGTTTGTTGTTTGGGTTAGGCTTGCGTTTATTTTCTTTTTGTTCACTACATTTCACTGTACACACATGCAGAGACTCAACACACTACTAATGATACTGATTTACATACTTTATATCTCCATTTTTGGATTTATACTTTTGTTAAATAAATCTTTAGTTAAAAGTCATGTGTTGTCCTCTCCTTTTTGTCCTCCATTTGAGCCGGGCTGTGAAAAGTGTAATTGTTTTTATAAAAAGTACAATAATTCACTGGAGTGAGATACTTTTTGCTTAATTTAATTAATACCACTATACAGATTGACTTTTGAAAAGCAGCAAATCAGCACCTGGTGGAATAATTGTTGAGTAATTTCAACTTGGGGTGAGTGGAAATGAACAGGTTAAAAGACAAATTCAGTTGAGAGACAGATATCGGCTAGATAAGCTAGAATAAGTGGCCCTTTAAAACTACTATTTCCTCCCTGGACTGTAACTCCACCATGGACATTCTTGAGCAGACTGGAGAGAGTTGTGCCCATATTAGGAACATGTTACCTGATATCTGGCACAAATCATGCCTGGGAAAATAAAATGCCATTGGTCTGGGATGTGCAGGGCACAGCCTTCATATTCACACCACTCTGCCCCTTGATCTTGGTGTGAATGAGTTAAATTTGTCCTAACAACAGTTTTTATTGGGGGGCTGAAAAGATTAGTTTGTGTTTTCTGGTTCGTTTAATCATTGACAGCAAAAAAGTGACAGAAAAAAGTGACAGAAAAAAGGTGGATCAGCTCATGATGATATGTGAGCTTGGTGAGTGTTTGATCAACTTGGAAGATGAGCAATGTGCGTATTTCACATGGTGCTTTTTAAAAAATGTATCTTTTCAATAAATACAGCATGAGAAGGAGCCATTTAGCCTTCGCATCACACACTAGAGAAGGTTTGAAGCATCCAGGGTCAAAACAGAAACCTCTCTTCCAGAGTTATCCTACAACAAGAAGGAATAATCCAGTATTATTAATCACAAGTTTAGACTATTAGATTGGAAGATAAGTGTGCCCAACTGTAGAATTTTATCTCCATGGATTCCCAACTTTTGAAGCTGAAACAGTGTCTACCTATTGTGACCAGTGAATGGTTTCTACTCAACTTTCAGAGGCATGAAGAAATTAAACAATCTAGAGTTCCATAAGAAAGAAAGCAAAGAGAGAATTCTGAAAAATAAACCATATTTTAGAGTAGAAATAACGTATGTTTTTTTTAACTCATTTCCTGCTCATCTCATCTTGAATGCTTACTTTTTAAACCCTTTGGTAGGGTCTGTAGCCCCATGTTGGGAACCACTGCATCCCAAACATTTGAGGTTAGCCCTGCTTTAGACCAGCCCCCTGTCTGAAGTTGACTTTATCCCACTGGAATATGTGACAATGTTTAATAGGTTTTAGGGCCAGGCTACTTGCCATATTTCAAGGTTATAAAGATTATAAACCTGTTCTTAGCATAATGTGAAAATCCCTTCTCAGATTTATGCAACTCAAATGAAATCACTTCAGGCACTAATCTTCTTTCATATTTCTTGTGGGTGGGATGATCGCTGGAGCTCGACAGGTACATTCTTATACAACGCAGACATCAAATAAAACAGGGATGCAGGTAAATGAGGAGGCAATTACAGCGAGGGCTTTAATCAAAAGCACAGGCTTCTGTTTATTGACCGTTGCACGCACATGAACAGGTGAGAGTATATTTACACAGATGTAAACAGTCAATACCTGCAACATGGAGGAAAGGAGAGAGAGAACACATTGTCTCCCTTTCTCTCTTTTTGCTCGCACACACACACACACACACACAAGTACACACATTCATATGCACTTGCAGGCGCACAATCACACACAGAGAAAATTTGCAGTATAAAGATCGAGTGGACTGTCTGAAAACACAAAGCACAGCAGGCCTCTTTGGTCAGCTACTTCAGACAAGATTTCCAATGATCAAAGCCCATTACAAGTCACCATTCAGAGAACAGAGAGGGAACACATACCAGCAGAGCAGTAGGCAAACACCAAAACCTATATCAGCATTTGCAGTTTTCACATTATTTAATGTGTCAGTTGAAGAACAGTGGCGCATAATCCTGCATGTATATATATATATATTTTTTATTTTTTCGCCATCAGTGGAAGATAATTCATGCTCTGTAGACATCATGGCAACAGCATTCAGACAGCACTTTGATGCGAACATACATACAAAGTACCTGAATGGTAAAATGATAAGATGGTACAACAGTATGAAAGGGCTTTTATCCCTCTCAGCTGTGATGTGGAATTAATTCTTTACAAAGTAACATCAATGAACCAACTTAACTTCTACTGAACATGAATTCGAGGTTCATTAAACTGACATGAATTTGCCCAGTTTTCCACAACCCTCCAAAACATACGGTAAATAATAGAAAAGCAGCTGTTAGACAAAACAAATATCATAGCAAAATAATAAAACATTCTCAGTGGACAGAGTGCAAATCATTTTTTTACTTCATTGTTTCCCCTCTACAAAATATAATTCAATGACAACACAAATAAAATGTATAAAATGGTGGAAAGAACAAATCATTTCCTGGCCGATGTGTGGTGTCAAGAGGCATGTCTGATTAATAAAAAAACACTTTCAAGAAGTTCCTGCACAGCAGAAGATAATTGTTGACTCTTCCTTCCACCTCTGTATCATCCCCAACACACACACACACACACACACACACAGGCCTAACTATCCTCATATTTCTCTCTTATCATCGATTTCTGTCACTCTCTTCTTTAACCCTGTTACCAGCCTCTTGCATCCATTTTGCATACATGCACTTTTCTGGCTCACAGAGAGGATGAACCGCACAACCATTAAACTACGTCGCCATGTTATGAGTGTTTCCTGGCTTCTGTCCATATCAACACAGTGTTGCCACAGTGACACCCTGTCAACGCTTCCTGTTAAACCCGCATTAACAGCTGCTGTACTCCGCACTCGAAGGAGATCACTAAAACTTCAGTTCCAGGCTACAAGTTAAATGTAACACATTCATTCACTAGTACCCTTTTAATATTACGTATTTTTAAGACTTTATGCGTCTTAATGCTGTCAAACTCCTGTTTAACCACAAACCATTAATCAAGAACGATACAGCAGAGAGAAACATCCAGCATGGAAACAACTACTGTTGTTCTATTTCAGCAATCCTCAAAATGATAACCTGCCACAGTACCACAAAAATATCTGCTCATTTCAGGGATGAATTGATTAGAATAGTCCTCTGGGGCCCTTCCCGTCTTATTCACTGACTTAATGGCATCACTGAATAAAATCTAGGGCTACAACAATTAGTCGATTAATTGTTCAGTAAATCTAATATTTTAAAGCAAAAATGCATCAAAACCAGACATTAAAATATGTCAACTTGAGCTCTGGGAAATTGTGATGGCCATTTTTCACACAAAATTGTTTAATCGATTAAATAAAATAAATAAAATTTAAATCACTGATAGCAGCTCTAATAAAGTCAGACAATGTATTTTGGATTTGCCAAAATTATACTCACAAAATCATTTGTGTGCCTACCAATAACGGTACTTTGTTCCATTAGTGTCAAATTTATCCACCTGTGTGTGTCATTGGGTCATTTAATAACAAAATTTGATCCAAAGTCTCGACATTAATGCACAATCGTAATAGAAAATGTACGCACAAAGCTATATGTGTATGACAAATATGGTTCAGCTTAAAGTACTTAAGCTCTGTTGCAAAAATAATACAAAATACTTTAAGGTTGTCTGCATTCAGTTTTCACAAAATGTCAAAATGCAGGACAGAATGGCACAAAGCTTTCTCCATTAAAACTCATTTGGATCTCGTTTTCAGAACAGCCCTTTGTTCTGCTGTGAGCAACATCAGCTTCGAAAATAAGGTGTAAAGTCCCTCTCTATGTCACAGTCAAAGGTCATTGAGAGAGATCCACAACTTTCACTGCCAGGTTACACTGCATCAGCTCATATTGTTACACACTATTTACAAGCAATTAGCACAAACTGACAGCCCAAACACCCACGGAGTATATTGCTACCTTATGGACAGAGGTGTAAGTTTAGTTTTTAGTATTATTTTCTTTTTACAAAGGAAAACTACAACTGCTATGACTGCCCATCCTGAACTGGCTCTGCTTTCCGGAGCTGTTGGGTTGCCAGGCTTTCAACTACAATTCCCAGGCACTTGATTGTGACAAAATGTACAGTAAAGTTGTCCACTGGGTCAGCACGCCTCTGATGCACAGAGACAAGGCAGCAACATTCAAGGTCAGACCCAAAACACAAAGTCCCCGACCTCCCATACAAAGAAAACAACAAGCATCCTCAGCATGCATATCAAAGTTATAATACTCTGTGATATACTGTACATCGACAAATTAGCTAGTGCTCGATACTTGCATTTACACACTAACACATGCTGCTAGACCTCTGTGCAATGCTACAGTAAGGTAACTGACACACAACCGAACTAAGATTCAACTGAATACCAAAAAATCCTGCAAATAAATACGACTATTTTACAATTATGGCAGATGCCAAAAAGGTGTGGAAACAAGCAGAACGAGAATGAGGTAGAGACAGTGATTTGCCACTAGAGGAAGTGAGAAAATGTAACAGTTAGGATATGTGCGGGAAAAAAAAGAAAAAGTGAGAGCAGTGCATCAAGGTACGAGAACAAAAAGTGGAAGAGTGAAAGAAGGAGTGGGTATTGGTCGATGGCTCGGGTCAGTGATAGTCGGACGGTTGTCTGGGTCTGCGTTGAGGGACTATCCTCACATCCGCAAGCGGTTGTGGGGGTCTGTAAATGGCGGCTCTGAGTCATCCATGGGCAGCACCAGACGTGTGCCCCTCATCACGAGCTCATGATCGCCATAAGCCAACTCTCTGTCCAAGTCATCAAAGGAGGCAGCACCAGCAAAGCCTGGGCCGCCGCTGGTGTGGGCGCCTGTGGCATCTGTACTGACGGTAATGTCGCCATAGGTCAGGCTGATATCGCCGTCGTTCAGGATGAGGTCAGAGTCGTCATCTTTGAGCTGGCACTCATTCTGGTGAGAGGGGAGAGGATATCAAACACTCACACAAGCCAGAATCAAGCACAAGAAGTGATTTAAATACTCTATACCCATTGAATAAAGCAAATTCTTTTCCAATAAAGGTTGTAAGTCTGGTTAATGAGTATTAATGTTTCCTCATCTGCCCAGTAAAAGTGTCAAACTGAACCTCTGTGCTTTACGATTCATCAAAATGACCTTTTTCACCCATTAATACAGGATAAAAACTTAACAAATACAGCTCAGTCAAAAATAGCTCCTGTATGAATCAGTGTCTGACCTCATAGGCCTGAGGACTGGTGAGGAAGCGGGCGAGGGGGCCGCAGCAGGGAGGCAGCGTGGCCGTGAGAGGGGGGCCGCTGTGAGTCAGGATGGGCTTCAGGTAGCTGGAGGGGGGGGGGTTGAGTCAAGGACATAATAACGTAGAGAAGAAGAACTAAGAAAGACTGATTAGACACAACAAATAGAAACAAAAAAGGAGTCTTGTAAAGATATGATTAATCAATGCTAAGTGTATTTTGAAAAAACTATCTTGTTCAATTCAACATTAAAGTAATTAATTTAGGTAAAACTTATTGACCTTCAAACTACACAGCTAATGAAATAGATCATTTGTCTTCCAAGTCTATACACGGTGCTCCCTCTGCTGTCTGACGCTGTGAACAACAGTCACTCAACTAGAACATGTTTGATACCAGTAGTTAGAAACAGAATCAGAAAGAGCTTTATTGCCAAGTAGTATTTTACAAGTACAAGGAATTTGCTATGGTGATACACAGAGAAATAAACATACAGTATATAAAATATATAAAAATGGCATAAACAGACATCTGTTATAAAAATATATGTCATCCTACCTACAGAGGTGCAGTTTTTGCACAGGATTAGCAGTTTGCAACAATCACCCAGGTTTGAATTCTATTCTTGTTTTTTTAAATGGTATTTTGTGACTGTGTGATGATTTCTGCTGTTTAGGTTATATTTTGTTGTGTACTTTTATTTAGCTTTAAAATTTCTGTGTCAGTGGTGCAGCATTCTTTAGAGGCCAACCATAGCTCTCATAATAGTTGTGAAAAATGACAACAACCTATTAAAAAAATTATCTTTGAGACAAACAGGTTGTTTTTTTCTTCTTGACCTTTATGTAATTAATAAAAACTAATAGTCTGTTGCCAAAGGATACTTGTGGTCGAAGTTGTACCAAATTCTGAAAAGCCAGGCACTTTCTTGTTTGGTGCTTCTTCTCTCTGAGCCTTCAACGACACTCATCTGTACAAACACAGAAAATGTGGTTTAGGCGTTTTCCTACAGTCATTATAAAACACTCACGTCACGGTAATGTGTATTTCATAAGGGCCCCACTTACTGAGTTATCTTGATCAGAGTCCACCCCCACACTGTTTAAGGAAAAACACATGTAAATCAGTTGCAATTATAAACTGTCAGAGCAAAACAGTGCTGTGAAGCGTGTTTCTCCCGTTTAGCAAGTTCCTGAACGGCAAGGTTTCATGAAAAGGTGGATGTATATAAACGGCCTCTAGCATTCAACAGGGCCAAAGGTTAAATTGAATGATTCTTGCAGTTTTTACCTGACAGGAGAACCAGATGAGTTAAATATGGGGGCCATAAAGTCTTAACAATCAGAAAAAAGCATCAGAAAAAGTAAATTCCTCTGACATTATCTGCAATACTCTGAGTTGTCAAACCCTTCTGGTGTTAAAACAAATGCTAACTGCAAATCCAGTTTGACACAGGCATGAATTTGAAAGGAGAAGGAGGGGCATACCGGATATGCTGGCAGGAGAGCATCTGAGTGGTGCCACCTCCACAAATCCAAACGGTAAAGAAGACCACGAGCAGAGTGGTGGAAAACATCATCTGGCGAGCGTATGTCGCCGTGTCCCTGATGGACAGGGCGAAGGTCATCGCGCCTCGCAGTCCTGAAGAGCACGGCACAGAGAATGTTATACAGAAACAAGGATGCAAGTTCCTATATAAAAAACATCAGGTGATCTCTGTTTATCATTTAGTTTACTCACAGCGGGTTGCAAGAAACTAGATAATGTTCTAGTGCATCCACAGCCTTTATTCTTTACTCTTAAACATTTACAATACACACACAATAACTGTCTTCTTCTCCATCTGTATACCACTAACCTGCAAACATCATCATGTGCTGGAAGTTGGATCTGATCTTGTTGCGTCGTCCCAGATTCAGAAGGAACGAGAGAGGGTAGATGTTAGCAGCTCTTCCAAGGAACACTGCCAGCTGGGTTGGAACGAGGTTAAGGAAAGGACAACAAACCAGAGAGCTAGTGAAGTCTCCTCACTCGTTCTTTTTCTGGGACTAGCGGCAGCACGATATTCCTACGCTGATAATAAAGTGAGCGAAAATAGCCACTGTTGTGATCAGCCAGAAGGGTTATCAGGCTTTGTGTGTGCACCAGGTGGGTGCATTTGCAAAAGATACAAAAGCTCCAACGATGAACATGGGATTGAAGACATGGCTCTGGAAGGTGAACAGGGTCAAACCCATGTAGGAGAAAATGAAGTTCTCTGCCAGGAAATTTAACAGTTCAAACAGCTGCAACACAAGCAACAAAAAAACAGCAACATTAGTTGATGTTCAGTTTAACAGAAAAAGAGAAGAAAAACACATTTAAAAAGAAACACAGTTAAACAAATTTAACAGCTAAATACATTTGGCTTGCTTGTCTTCAACTGCAATCCCACAAAAAAAAAATTTTAATTTCAGTGCACGTGTAAAAATTGTTTGATTATATTTGAAAGTAATAATGCCCATGCCTCTTTCATTCAAACCTTCCCCCCCCCCATCGATTACACATCATTTCCCCCCTTCATTTCAAATATTTTAGGTCCAGTTACAATGTGTGCAGAGTGAAGAAAAACAAATTACGGATCAATTGCATCAGATGTTGACAGGTGAAGGTGGCTGAATGCACTGCTGAGCCACAATATCAAACAATAAATAACACACTGTGCTTTGCTAACAAAACCATTCCTATTGTATCATTTTATAGATATGAAATGAGTGAAAATGGCACATAACTAACAAAGTTGTGTGTCACCTTTATTGACATTTTCACTTTTAAAACATTACTTGCTTTAGCTGTTTGACAAGGCCACTGACTCTTTTTTTTCTACTATCAACATTTGAAGCACATTGGGAAAGAACAGAATGCGCAGTGGTGTGGTTGCAGTCCAGGTCTGACCTGCTTGGTCCTGTCCTGGGACTCAGGAGACAGGTTGTTGTAGGTATAGTGGGCCTGAGTGATTCCACAGAATAGCACTGCGACCACGCCTGCAACATACCAGAAACACAAGAGTTAGAACATCCATAAACACTGATTATTAACAATAATATGAAGTTACATTTTGTGATCCTCACAGGAAACATACTGTGCTTGCTTTAAGAGCTTTACTGTCTTACTCAAGGAAACTTCTGCAATGTGGATGGTGGTTGTGTGTGTGTGTGTGTGTGTGTGTGTGTGTGTGTGTGTGTGTGTGTGTGTGTTACCTGTAGAACCACAGGCCTCAGCCAGCAGGAATGTGCTCCATGACATGAGGAAGAACAGAGCCGTCTCCAACAGCTGGAAATCCCTCAGCTTAGTGAACTTAGTCACGTACGAACGACAACAAGTCAAGGAGTTTAACGCTCAGACACTGCACAATGAATTCATATTAAACTTATAGCTCATAGCATCATAGAAAAGCTATTTGCTTGAAATAGGTGAATCTAAAGAAATCTGTTTCAGGTGGATTCTTCAAACAAGAAAACTATATTGTAAACAAGTTCCATTATCTACTAATTTTTAGTTGAGTTTAGTTATACCACTCAGTTCAATCTGGTCAAGGTACTTTTTGTACTGTAGTAATTTTACAAAACCTAATTCATTAAACAGTAACAATTGGATATTACTAACAACGGATTATATCATTTAGACTTAATTTAACATTTAAGTATGCTTATGCTTTGTAGACATGCTCCAGTGGAAGGATTTTTACATTTTATTTAGTCTTGTTAAACTGTAAACACTGTACAAACTGTAATAATGTTAAAAATAGCCATATATTAATAAAAAAATATAATTAAGTGACAGAAAAGATATGAGTGCGGTGACAACTCCGGTGGCCACTCCCAGAGCAAAGGAGCCGCTGAAAACTCCAAGGAAAACCCCAAAAGAGTTCAGCATTGCCATGACCTCAAAGGTGTGACTGTTGTTTCCTTCTGGCTGGTATGCAACTATAGACCTGATTCAACAGAAAATACAATTATTTAATGGCAACTATATACGCCTCGTGTCCAGGGAGTTTAAATCATAGAATCATATATAAACTTTACAACTTTTTAAGCTAAGGTTAAAGCGTGTATTCAGAAAATGTATTACCTATACTGTGAACAGTCTTATTGGCTAATATTTTATTAGTAACTGCCCATACCACCACTAAACTAGGTCTTTTTGTACAGGGCACGTTTTTGAAAACACTCAGGTTTGCTAAAGAATAGGCTTGCCCAGCAAAAACTCGCACTAATATAAACTGGGAGACTTAAGATAAAGCAAAAATAGAGGTCAGAGAGTCTCAGACTCTTTAGATTTAGTCTACTGAGGTGATTTGCTGTGTTAAAGTTACATTTATGTAATGTATCCTTTAGACTGCATATATGCAGGTATGTTTCTTCTGAGGTTAAGATTTCTTGCGAGGGACACATGTTAACATAAATCCTGTACAAAGTTGGAACAAATGTAGCCACTTTCCGACAAAAAGTACCGGGGACTTTTAAGTCCGCAGATCTCTTTTCAAGGAACTAAAAGGTTCCTTCAGCCTACTAAAGACCTGCAAAAATTAGGAAAATTAACCAGCTCATGTAGGCTGTAGGCCTATACGCAGTACAAAGAGATGCACAGGCATCATTACTTGTAACCACTACCGATGAGCAAAATTTAGATTTGACTGGAATATAATTAAAACTGTAGGCTATGCTTGATCATTAAAACAGCTTTTTGTGTGGGAGTAGGGACACGCTAAAGTTTGTTACACATTTAATAACAAACTGAATAAAGCCATCAAGTTCTTAAAATAACACAGAGAAAGCAACGCAAAAATAAAATTGCGACAGTTTGGAAGATTATTACAACATTTCCAGATAACAAGAGCTGCAGATCAGCTGCAGCACTACATTTAATGCAGACGTATGATCTCAGTCTGGCATCGGCGAGACAGCTATCTGACTGTTGATTGTGATTTATTGGTTTGCAAACAACAGTGGAAAAGACAGGAGCAGTAGTAGAAAATCACCAAACATTCCAGTTAAAGCCAGTAGCTTCTAAGTGCCCATTTAGAATTTCACTGCAAGGCAAGCCCCACCCCCAAAGTACTGGTACTTTCAGAAAGTACTACCCCATCCGAGCAGGGACTTTTTGGGTGGTAAAATAAAGACCCTGAAAGACACTGAAAAACAGTGAGTTCCTCCAAAGGTTCCTAGTTCCGGGGTATAGTTCCTTTGGTCGAAACGCGGCTCATGATAATAAAAAATCCTAAATGTTATGGTCTATTACAGAAGAGGATTAAGGCCATATGTGAAGTTCTGACTTTAAACTCAGAACTCAAACACATTTTTACTTTATTGCTGTAATCATACCTTGTTTTCACCAAAGAGTGGGCATCATTACATGCTGTTAAATACACATTTTTTCAAGGTGGAAGAAAGAGAAAATTACAATCTGCCCGTAGAGCAAGAAAACCAGACTCCAGAGGTTCTTCCTCGAATAAAGACATTCTTCACTTAAGTCTGCTTTGAAAGAAAAATTTAAACATGATGACATTGTTGTCTGTGCTTTCAGCCAAAGTAGTAGCAGTAACACAACAAACTATATCTGCGCTGTAGTTGCAGCACAGATATAGTTTGTTGTTACTGTACAGTTCATTTTTTACATGTCACTTTTGTGTCATCTCGTGGTACCTTGTCCAAATAAAATCATATTTGAAAGAACCAGACAACACTTTTCATCAAACTGATCTCAAACAAAAGTGATACATTCAGCCTCTCCATCCACAGCCCCCACACTCACAAAACAAATCACCAGGCATTTTGTCTATAGGCATTCCAGGCATCCTGTCCTCTACTTGGCTTTTGTATATATAGTATTTTCAAAGATCATAGAAATATGTTCTTTGCTGACTCACAACATCAACAACTGTTTACCAAAAAGTTAAAAAATGAATGAATAAATAATTAAATCTTCCACATCTCTAGTTGAATAAGCCAGAGTGGAAAAACAAAAGGCCGGCGATTTGCTGTGTTTCTCCCAAACCACCGCAAAGGCACACAAAGCCATTCTCTACTTAGTGCACCCGTTCAATGGGCCGGTCAGAGTCTCTCCGCAGGGCTGGGCCCCTCCACTGTGCTTGCTATTATTACTTATAATTCTGTAGAAATAATAAAAATCACATGCAGAGGAAAAGAAATACTGAAGGTTAGCTTAGGGACCACTTCATGTTTAATAAAAAGCTGTTATTAGGTAATTTAAAATGTCACTGGCCGATCAATACCAAATCACTTTTGCCATTTCTCTCAATAAACCAGTTACTTAGCAGTTGTGTGCACATTCAAGATTGTATGGGACAAATGCAGACTTGTGGTTTGAGTGTGATGTCAAGAAGACAGGACGACTTACGAGGAAAGCACCAAGGCCACTGCATCGTTGAGCACACTCTCTCCAAACAGCAAGGCATACAGATCCACGTCTACCTGCAGCTCATTGAAGATAGCCAGCACTGTCACTGTGAACAGAAACACGTGTTACAACTGACCAACTTAATGATATGTTGACGTTGATGACATGATACACGTGTTAAGAGCTGTGTTTCAATACTATACTCTGTAATAGGGCTGAAACGATTCATCGATTAAATCGATTAATTCGATTACTAAAATGCATCAACGCAAATTCTTTGCATCGAGGCAACAGCACGACGGCACCTGATCAGAAAGCATCCGGTGTTATGCCAGTGGACCGCGGACAAGGTAACAGTAACTGCAACTTCAGCATTTAACTGAAATCATGATTGACTGTTGAGTTGAAGGCTAGCCAAAGTAAGCCGCAATCCTCAGCTGCAAATGTATACACGGGGGTTTGTTGTTCTCCTGGTTGGGCCGTGAGTTTGGGTTGTAACGTCACAGTCATGAGTTAACTGGGTGTTGGGGAGCTGCACCTTAGTATCAGGTGATGTTTGTGTTGGTAAAGCAGTTTGCTGTATAACACACTATGAATTTCTGCCGCCAATCAAAAGTACTTCTTAAACGATGCATCGATGAAATAATCTTTAAAAGCTTCAAGTACTAAAATCATCGTTAGCTGCAGCCCTATTCTGTAACATATGTAAAGGTATATGTTCATGATTAACATACTTTTTCTTGACTTTTTACTATACTTATACTTAAGCAACAGCTCACGACAGGCCGTAGTATACACTTATTATATCACAGGTATGGGGCGTTGTTTGGCCCAACGCGAACGGTTACCAAGTGTGGCAAAAAGAAAGTAGGCTAACAGACGCACTACAATTTCAATTTGTTTATTTCATCAACAGACATTTCTTTATTAATACAAAAAGTAGTTCCAGCTGGCTGCCGGTGGGCTATGACGGTTGCTAAGCAACAACCGATTTTTTTAAATCCGATATTCCAATATATCGGTCAATGTTCTTTTTTCTTCTTCTTTTGAGAAACACAAAACATAAACAAAAAGTATTCCTAACATTTGTTAAGTGTAGTTATGAGACCTCACCAAGATGACACGTGACATAATGCAGATTAAAAATAAACTAATTGTATTGTTATAAATATTACTTTGAACATAAGTACAGCTGACTGACATTATGTCAGCTGACTGCTGTGTATTTTGGTTGCCAACAGGGGCATTGCAGAGTGCAACAACAACACTGATAACATGACGGAAGGATACGTCTTCCTTCGATCCTTTTATCTTTTAATTGTCATTTATTGGCTGTTATAAAAACTGATTCCAATTTATCTGCAATAAGCTAATATCGGCCGATAATATTGGCATGCAGATTTATTGATCGTATCGTATGCAAATTTGAGAAATCCTTAGTTTTACAATGAATTGTTTCTGTGTCCTGTTTGTGAGAATGTTTACTACAAGCTTTGCGCAATTCAAGAGATAAACATGAATCCAGTTTATAATTAGTGTAAAAACTTTGAAGACTAAGAATAAGCATACATACCAGGGTCTGTGGCAGAGACAATGGCACCAAAGAAGAGGCAATCTGTGAAGAAGAAGTCTCCACCCAGCTGTCCCACCTGCTTCATTAGCACCACGCAGCCGTACATCAGCAGCCTGGGGGAGGAACCGTGGGTGGTTTTGGATATCATCATAAACAACACTGACTTTGTTGGCACTTTGGGCACTTAAACACCACAATAATTGACATATATGAATACTGCTCTGGCATACAATGTCTTTTGTGCATATTGTGGCTACAACATAGAGTCACACATGTGTAAATCTGAACAAATGAATATCCTTACCCAATAACAAAACAAGAAACAACTGTTCCCAGAAAGGCGTAAGCCAGGATCGATCCCATGTTAAGGAAAAAGTGTCTCTGAAAGACAAAACAATTAAACATTTCAACAGTCAGATGCATAGTGACTATTATCACCATTTGTCTCTAAAATGAGAATGAAGAAGTGGATTATAGCATTTCAGATAAAAAAAAATAGTGCCTGAAATACTACCGTACCCTTTTCAAGCTGTAACCAGCATGGAAGATGATAGGTGGTAGGAGAATATTGAAGAACACTTCAGGGTCAAAGGTCACCTGAGATGCACACAAAAAACAGTGTGATATTACAGTTCTGAATCAATAGAATTAGAAATGACACACACAAAAAGACAAAGTTGTTTTAATGGCTATTTCTAGGATGTTGCATTACAACTTAAATTAAATTTAAATTAATGAATTAATCATCAATGACACATCTGGGACAGCATGAAGTAGCTTCCAGGACAATCAACAAAATGTTGTTATAATAGTAAAATAACGAGATGGGAAAAGGGGACAGTTCTAGATTAGTGCTATATAAAAAGATGTATGTATGTGATTCTGTTGTTGGGAGTAGAGCATAATAGAATACATCTAATCTGAAAAATATCAGTGCTATTTAGTAGACAAGTTTCCAGATGTCAGAAATCAGCACATGACCACAGTGCAAAAGTTATGGCTCCAAAATGTAAAGAGAATTTGTCAACTATCTTTCATCACATTTTCAATTAAATTCAGATTAATAATTTTTTCATGTTAGAGGTGAAAAATGTAGAATATAATTTTCCAGAGGTAACGTCTTACAATATTTTGTCCAATTAACAGTCCAAAAACTAAATCCACCTGTGTTGCATTACGGCTGCGCAGCGGTTGCTGGAGCTAATCGCGGCCATTTGTCATTTTATTCAATTCTTGTGAGTTTACCAGATGCAGCTCCAGCGCTTCCCAGAAGCGCCCCAGACACGGCTCTCCACTCCGCAGAGAATAGGTAGCTAGTCTATTTTTGACGTAAGCCGCGTCAAGCAGCACAGAGCAGATCGACCCGGGCAGGAAGTCAGAGAGCAGCATAGAGAATCCGGTCAATTATCAAAAAAATTAAATATTGTGTGCAGACTCCCAATCATAAAACAACAATAAACACGGTTAAAACAGACAAAAAAGAAACCATTTAACTACGTAGGCTACTTAATCATAGTAGAAGCACAAAAAACAAGCATGGATTATCAAAACAAAACCTAAACATGTCAGCAAAATCAGGCAGGCAAAACGCACTGATAGATGAAAACCGCGGCACAGCCGGGGTCAGTGAACTTTTGGAGTAAGTGATTCTGCAGGATTGGATTGTTGATATTTGAACTAAACTGCCAAACAAATACCCCCCTCCCTTAAGTGCTCCCTCAGAAGCTCCACCCCCCTAAATTTCTCCAGCATTGAAATGCCTTCACCCATCCCTGGTCATATAACTTTCTTTTCCTTTTTGCCTGTTTCTCAGCCTGTCTCCTTCTTCACAGTGCCTGGAGTAACAGTAATGTATTGAACTCTCTCTTACACAGCCCCACTGCCCTCATCACTCCTGTGCAAGGGCACAAGTTGTTGCTGATTGGCTGGAGCAATGTTGTGTGGCAAGATCCACCCCACTTTCAGGGTGGGCCAGGGTTGTGTGTGAAAAACAGTTTTTTTTTTCAGAGCACACACAAAACAGAGAGCTAGAAAATAATATTCAATGAATTTAACAATAAGTGTTCTGGATTAAAATCACTTACTATCCATTTAATTTTCTGTCGATTGACTAATCAATTGATGGATTGATTCAGTGGATTGATTCAGCTCTTTATTATATTGCAGGATTAACAGTAGAAAAAAAATAAACCTGTGTGGATAACTATATAGAAACTTCACAACAGTGCATTGGCTTTGTGAAGCACTTTGTAACATAGCTTTTGAAAAGTGCTCTATATATATATAAAGATTTTATTTATGTTATTGTAACACATCCATAAAATGTGATCAGTGGTACAACTTCTTGTGGTCAGACATCACTTTTCTGCCTGAGTGTAACATGATGGCCTGTACCTTTCGCAGCATCTCATTATCTTGCACGTCGCCCACTGCGTTGGCATTGATCTCTCCTTTCAGAGTGTACTCATAGAATTTGCCACTGACGTTGATCAGCAGAGTGGCAGGGCTGGCATTAACGTGGCAGCTCATCGTAACATTGCTGATGTCCCGAGGAACATGGATGCCGTAGCGCAAGACCACGCCAACAAGTAAGCCTGGGAAAAGAGGTGAAAAAGAGGTGCGACACATAGGATACAGAGGGCAGACAAATTAGATACACTCAGATGATGATTCTCAAAAACTAAAAAAAACTAAAATAAAAAACATGCATGCATTAAAGGCACAGCTCTGCCACACAGGTGTTTTAAATTATTTTGGCCGGATCAGCAAATTAGATCTGTAGTCAGGAGAAATTTGAATGGAGCTATGAGGAGAACTGTATGATGTTACCAAACACTAGATACAATCAAAATGATGACACAACAGTCAACCAGCATGAACAGTACCTGCTGGAACTGACACATTATGGTGTGTGTGTGCTGAGGTTTTAGCAATTATTGAAACAAGTCACTGTAGATACAAAATGTAACATGATTCTACTACACCAAGACCAACCTCTCATCCACTCTGAATAGCTCTGGAGATTTTGACATCTCATACTAGTTTTAAATAAAAATGAAAGTAAAGATCACTGCCAGCCCAGTGAGTGGTGTCTATCCCATCAGGTGAAGGAAGGGTTTATTTTGGTGTCTGGGTGAAAGAGGAAACTGTCAGTTATCACTTTGTGTAGCCTGCTCGAAATGACACCTACTTCAACCACATTCATCGTTGGCCTTAGAGAAGTGAGAATGTCGATAAGTAAATTTTTTCTTGGCTTTTTCATGCTATGTGTTCTCTCCGGGTGGGGGACAAAAAATACTTATCTGCTTGTATGTTATTTTCAAGACAGAGCAGGGTGCACACAGGGTGTCTATACTGCCGTAACTACGCTTGTTACCTTACAGCATCTAACTACCTGAACGGCCTATATGTCCTAATGCGCTGCAGCTTAGACAATTATTGCCAGGGGTGTAAGCCTGGTATTGACGAGCAATCATCTAAAATCTAATCATGAGCAGAAAATGAAAGTAATAACACAGATGACGTCTCAGTCACGCTGGAGCATCTCACCATAAATCATTGCCAGTCCGGTTTCGTGCAGAAACCTGAACCGCCGGTGTTTGAACAACCAGATGGTCAGGATGGTGAGGGTGAGGAGCATGATGAAGATGAGTAGGTCTGCGCTGTCCTGCCTGTGGCTCTCCTCAGCCTTTTTCTCTGTGTCGATGTTCTCCATGGCACTGTCTTCCTGAGGTGATGATGCTCGGCAAACACAGATGCATACGGACAGACTCACTAGGACGAGCAGCCACAGCGTCCTCGTTGCCCTCCAGGCATTGTTGACAGTCACTTTAAACACCATTTCAGCTGGTCGGCCTTCAAATGCTGCAGTGTGGTCGTAGATAAAAGCAAACTTTCCGCAAATTTTATTCACGAACTGGAGGGGGAGGAGGAGGTGAGAGTAGAACGACGACGGCAACGGACGAATCAATTCCGGCCCGGAAGTGAAAACTACCCCCCCGAAAGTGTACATTGTATATTTCAATGTAAAAGCACCATAGGAGAACCTTTCAAGCTTAAACCAACCCTAAATGACAGATCGTATCGTTACGTATTGTGTGTAATAGACACAACTTCTGAATTTAAACATATATGGATCTGGTCGTTTTTCATGGAGTATTTCCATAGTTGATGATACTAGCTCTAACCAAGGATTTTATTATGAAATCTCCCCTATTCTCATATTAAACAGGAAGTGAGACGAAATTGTATTTTTTTATTTAATCTATTATTTCTGTTATAATCATGGTAGAACAGGATCTTATAGTAATCTTTACTCTTAAGCAACATTACATTTTAAAGATTAATAGAATTAAAGATTCCGATTTCTCAGGGTGTTTTGTAATGACGGTTTTGTTCAACTAACACCAACGTTACATGTAATGCATCTATGCAAAATCAGCCAACTACAATGTTGATATTTGTTTTCCCTAAATATTTGATATTTGAGTATCACTTTTCCTCCCGAAACTCGACAGCAAGTCCCGCGATACCAAATAAAATACGTCAGTTAATGTGACGTTCCCGCATATAGGAAATTGTGGTTTTATAACGGATAAATTCCGTATAAATTGAGTAACTCTAAACCTTTATTTATAGTCTTTGAAACTGGGCAGTACATTAATAACATATCTGATTCAAAAAAATAAGAGAGCTGTGAAAACACTTCATTTGCGCTATTTGTTAAATGATCTTCTATGAAACTCCCATTGGCTCTGTTCATGTCTTGAATATTCTTGTCCTTGTTCAAAATTCTAGTAAAAAAACGTAAACACACACACACACACACACACACACACACACACACACACACACACACACAAATAAAATTAATTTCACAATTTCCGATGACCACCTGAATGCAGCACGAGTCTGCGTTACACCATTCGTCTTGGTCAAAGCTATGTTTGCTTGGTGTTGCTAAGCGGTGTCGATTTTTAATGAAAAGCGTATCTACCTTTACCTGTATTTTCATAATTTAACCACATTTATGCAGCTGCGCCGTCCACATTGCTAAAACGAAGATGACATCTAAACTGAAAGGTATGTTATAAGCCTTTTTACCCTAATAACTACCAGGCTAACATGGCTAACGTTAGACGCTCTCTTTTGTAAAAACGCTGCCTTTGCTACTGAATTTGTGTTGAAATACATTATTAGTGATAAAAATAACGCAACAAAATCACGACTATTTGGTTGCTGCGACATGTGAACAACAGTGGTGACAAGTCAAAGTCTGGAGCAATTTTATCAGGGTTGTCTGTAATGTTAGCATTATTATACTTATGTTCGCTGAGGTTATAAATCTGCTTCATTAGCTTAACGTTACACAAACTGTGTTATTATACCATTATTATTCACCTGAAATTTAATCTGTTAATGATAATGTTAATTTATATATGATGTAATTCGGCAAAACACAGAGGCCATTCATACTACGGTGTATCAAACTAGATGCTGGTAAACTTCAGTTAGTCGTATTGAAGTAATAAAAAAAATGAATACTTTTGAGAGAAGTTATGATACTATTGGTTGTTTTGTATATAGTGATGATGGCTGAAAAGAGATGTTTTATTTTGGCTACTTTATTTTTTACCACCAGGAATAAAAAGCCAAAACTTAAATATTACTGTACATCATTTTATATTCTCCATCAGACTTAATGTATATCAAGAAGATGTTATCTATATATGTCTGAGCAAGAATAATAAATATGCAGTGCCAAGGCAGAATAGAAACATTAGGATACAGGTAGCAAAAAATGTTCAAATTTGAAAGAAGCTTATATATGAAATCAATTATGAGACAATAAATAAAAACAGGATGAGCATTAAAGTTGTTAAAGAGGATTGTGAGTTTTATTATTTACTCCAAAATGTTAATCCACAAATTAGTTACATTTCTTAACAGCAAGTGCATGGTGCGCTTTGGTTTGAGTGTGTTTCCTTTAGGTGGTAAGTTGTGTTCGATAAAGTTCTCAATCTAAGAAGCCTGGTCTGAGGGAAGGGCTGTACAAGCTCAGAAATATGAAATTATGAATAGCTGCCCGTGTCAAATATCATTGTGTTTCTAGTGTATTGTATTATAGTTTCATAAATCCATGCAAAGCAACAAGGAAGCTATTTTACCACTTTGTTCATGGTGATGTGTTTCGACTCTAGTTGGGAAGGTCGGCTCCAAGAATAAGGAGGATGCTCCTTATGAATTGGAGAGCCAGTTTATCCTGCGGCTTCCTTTGGTGAGACTGCTGCGCCTGCTGAAACTTATTATTTCTACGAAATTCACCGTGACCTTTTGCTTGAAATGCTGTGAATTCATCGTCCTATTTGCTCATCTTTTACAGGAGTATGCCTCAACAGTAAGAAGGATTGCCCAGTCTAGCAGTATGAACATGAAAGACCGACTCACCATCGAGTTGCACCGTAAGTTTGTGTATCTGTAGTCTTGGTAACTTGTATTTATGTTTGCTTGTGTGATGTCATTGTTCAAACACAACTTCAATTTGTCTTCTGTCAGGGTATCCATTTGAAATCCAGTGCAGAATTTTTTAAAACTTTAAAATGCACTGATATCTTTAAATGAGCACTACTGACATATTTCAATCCACAAACATTGGAAATTAACATTCTTTTAACTGCACATATTTGGCATTTTTATGGCATTTATTTTTATGGTAGGCTTATTTAGTTTTGTTGGGACACATTACTAACTAGGGCTGAGTCATTAATCAAAATATTATTAAAATCGCAATATGGCCAAGTCCTGGCTTACAAATCATTTTCTCCAGACGTAAGGAAACATGTATGTTACAGACAATTTCAAGAACTATCTGCAGTGTTTCCCATACGTTCATTTATTTGTGGCAGCCCACCACAATATCAACGCTGATCGATTTCTTTTTTCTTTTTTGTCTTTTTTTTTTACTAGGCCTATTTAAAATTGTAAGGAGCCTAACTAATAAGGAGAGATATGTTTTTTTCTGTGAAAAACGTCCTCAAATGTCCAGTTTTGTCCGCAACCCACAGATAGTCAGGTCTACTGACATAGATGAGTAAAGAAACCAGAATCAGTAATCAGTAATAAGTTGGCGATTAATTTAATAGTTGACAACTAATCAATTAATCAATTAATTGTTGCAGCTCTAGTGGTTACCCTTGTCTCACACACAGCATTTCATCATTATCAATTATGTCATCCCTCTTCTTTGTAGCTGATGGTCGTCATGGTATAGTGAGAGTAGACCGTGTTCCTTTGGCCTGCAAACTGGTGGATCTGCCCTGTATGATTGAGTCTCTGAAAACGGTGGACAAGAAGACATTTTACAAGACTGCTGATGTCTGCCAGGTAAACCACTGCATTGGCATTACATTTAGGTGTCATCTTCATTAGATACATTGCTTATTGTTCAGGTTAAGGAAGACGATTGTGAATAAAAAGTACTTTCTGCCAGGTGGAGCAGCAATGTAGCATTCATTTTAGGACGTAATATTTAGTGGATACATATTTGAATTCTATGTACATTAACATTTAAAACTAATATTTTATCTCTCCTGTTTATTCTAAAACTGTAGTACAACAGCACTAAGCAGCAGAATGCTTCAGAGTCATTTACCACTCATTTTTGCATCCATGGGTTAGATGCTGGTATGTACACTAGATGGAGACCTTTACCCTCCTTTAGAGGAGCCAACTGGCACCGACCCTAAGAGCAAGAAGAAAGACAAAGACAAGGACAAGAAATTTGTTTGGAACCACGGCAGTAAGTAGACAAATATCTGCACACAGCAGCTTTTTGAGCTGTTTGTACTAAAAACTTTGCACACCAGCGATTCAGGAAACACAATTTGCCCTCCACTGCTGATTGAGCGATTTTGACTTCACTAATCCTGTTGTTTTGGTCTCTAGTCAGCTGTCCTCTGAAGAACACACGCAAGAGAAGATTTCGGAAGACCGCAAAAAAGAAGGTTTTGACATTTTCATTTCCCCCTCAGCGCTCCCCTCCCCTTTCCCGCCCGTCCATTTCTTTATCACCCCGTCTGATGATCCATCTCCTTCCTAGGCTCTCGTCCAGCAGGATATTTACATTTCATAAAACAGGAACTGTGGTGAAAGTGAAAACTAAGATTTACATATAAATAAAGCCTTTCCATCGTAGTTTGTCCCAAAGGCAAGCAAAAAAGCAATTTCACTATTGCTTTGATCAAAGTGAGCGCTACACTTCTACTTTGTCTTCACCATAAATCTTCCTGAAGATGCAGAGCCGAGTGATATTGATTTGGCCCCTTCTGTTTTTAATCGCTAATGTGCTTCCTGGCGTGAGGCCATCTGCTACCTGTGCGTGTGTGTGAGAGGAAGAGACCCAGAGAGATTCTGCTACATGTAACCCAATCTCTTTCTCTCCCTCTTGCAGTACATTGAATCTCCTGATGTGGAAAAGGAGGTAAAGAGATTGCTGAGCACAGACGCAGATGCTGTCAGTGTCCGTATCCTTTTAGATACCTACACATATTTTGCACATTTCTTTTATAGCCTAACGAGCTAACCAAACATTTACCTCATATAATGGCAAGCAACATTATATAATGTAAAAACAGAATGACATTGTTGTCAACGTGAAAACTAACCCTCTAGTTGTGACTTGTGACTTAAAGGATCATTTTGGTATTTTTAAACCCGGGTCCCATTTTCACATTTAGGGGTCGAAACGACTAGTAGGTACAAAACGTTATGGAATCGGGTGCAGTGGATGGCTTTAGCAAGCAGCCTCGAAACAGCTGCAGAGGCTACAACGTTTTCCTTTGAGGCAATTACGCCCATCATAATTATGTCCACAAAAAGTGCTTCTTTTTGCCACTTACAGGCTCAGACTGTTATACGAGGTGCAGGGTTCGACAAAAGCAAAGCCCAGGGCCAGTAAAAATGTATGTCAGGCAGTTTCAGTGCAGTGTCAGTTCCTCTGTCTACATCTGAAGTCAACTGCCTCGCTGCCTTTGTCCTACGTCGTCTCCAGTGGCAGCGTTGTAACTGGGGTGTAAAAATGAGGGGAAAAATGTTAGGTTGGACACTGACAAGGTGTCAAACAACATCATGGAAAGGATCCCTACAAATGAATCCTGATGTCACCCTTTGTTTTTAACAAGAAACAGAAGTTTTGCTGAAGGACAATTCTCCCTCTCAATTCCCATGACAGGTGAGTTGTTGCAGAAAGACGCCAGTGGAAACGTGAATCAGAGAGAGGGGTTTCTTGTGTTAGAGTAACGTTAGCAGTTCCTATATGTACACAGCAAACTCCCCTCTCCAACTCTGATTCAAGTTTCCACCGGCGTCTTCCTGCAACAACTCTCCTCATAACATTTCAGAGCCAGAATTGTCCTCTGAGCGAGACTTCTGTTTCTGATTCAAAACACTTTTTATGGAGGCAATTTTAATGAGCACAATTGCCCTAAAGGAATACTTTGCAGCCACTGTAGCTGCTTCACAGCTACCTTCTGAAGCCATCTACAGCATGGAACGTAACCTCACTCTCTAACATCCAAAATAGATTGATCTAAGGGCCAAGCTGGTGTCCTGACTACTGCCTAGCTCACCTGACTTGTCCGTCCTTTGTGAAAGAGATGCACTTTGCAAGGAGGTTATTAGTGCTCGAATGAAACTAAACTTGCCTGACAGAATAAGAGCACAGCAGGACTGCGCAGAGTGGCTGCTTGCTGTGTGTTAATTGAGATGGACTGTTCATTATCATTGCTTAGTTGGTCACAGTGAAGCTAGATTCTAATTATAGCTTCAGCGTAAGCATGAAGCAGCAGACGCACACATGAGAACCTAATGAATGTTATAAAATTAAGGCATTTCCCATTGAGTAACCCCTTTCAAGTCTACTTCAAAGAAGAGTTTGTGGAACGTGAGAGTTTTGAAAGTCCATGAGTCTTTTTAGTGAAGGACTTCTGAAAGTTGGGAGGATTCTACAGCGGTATTGTTGACTTTAACCCGTGACGTTCAGGGTGGGAAATCATAGCAGAGGATGAGTCCAAAGAAGCTGATCAGCACAGCTCTCTGGCCAATCTGGACTCCTCACCTGGCACGTCGGGACACAAGATGGGTCACGGGTCCTCTGGTAAGTGAAACGTGTTCATCATTGGTAAATTATGAGGAATAAGATGTAGTGGGCTTCTCCAGCAGGCTGGCTCCTCCGATTATCTTGACCACATGGCATATAGAAATGCAAATACATAGATGCTGATACAGATATTGATAGAACATTTTGGATAAGGATCCACTTAAATTTGTTATGAATGTCAGTGCTCTCTAGTGGACAAACACTGTAATGGAGATTCTTTTTGTAAACGATCTCAAACATACATTTGGCATTTCGGTACAGTGATTTCTGGTTCCTTATTGGCCACATATATGTTGATGCTGATTTATGGGCAATAAGCTAATATCATCCGATTTATTGGTCAAGCTCTTTGTGTGCAGCTACTTTGAAGTGGCACAGATGACTCTTGTGATTGACCTGACTGTTCTTTGATACTCTCCACCCCTCACTAGCAATTGAAATGGTCCTCTGTAGCAGACCTTCTACAATTACCTAGGGGCACAGTGCAAGTGTGCTGACACTCACAGGTGCTGAGGTCAGGGGTGTGCATGAGTGGCATGACTTATATAACTAAAAAAGTGTTACCACAGAGTTTTAAGAACAAAGTCATTTAAAAGCCGCTTATTTTCTGCCTGTTATGTGAATGTACCACCATGTGTTTAAGCACACTGTTTTTCTTTGCTATGGAAGAGAAGCTAACATCATGAGTGGGCTGTTTGGAGTCCACATTGATCCCACATGGTTTATGACATACAAGACCATATTCTTAACTTACTCACTACACAGTTGTCTCTGTGACCCAGTTCAAGTGTTCTGAATTCTCGCTGTTTCCATCTTTGTGTCCACGTTAATAACACTAATGTGTGTTCCGCATGGCCAGCCCAGCGTGACGAACTGAGAGAGATCTTCAACGACATAAGCAGCTCCAGCGAGGATGAGGAGGACGAAGGGGACCGGCATGAGGACGAGGACCTGAATATCATGGACACAGAGGATGATCTGGTCCGACAGCTCCAAGACAAACTCAACGAGTCTGACTCCGCACAGCATGAAAGTGATAGAAACACCCAGATAGGTGAGAGGAAATCAGGGTTTCTACACAGATCTGGAAAACTTTAAAAAGAAAAATCAGTTTGAAAGTATGGAAGTAACTTTATATAATTATAGGTATATGTCCCTGACATGTAGAGCCAAAGCAATTAATCAAGACATCTTTAAAGTCCTTTTTATCAAGCAAAAATTCCAAATATTTTCTGGTTTAAGCTTCTCAAATGTAAGGATTTGCTGCTCGTCTCTTTTTTGCATGTTTTTTATTGAATCTATTTGGGTTTTGACTCTTGGTTGGAGAAAACTTTTCCCAACATCATCTTTGGCTGTAGGAACACGTGATCAGCATTTCCTGTCATTTTCATAGACTAAACAATGAAACGATTCCTTGAAAGAAAAGAAATCATCGACAGATTAAGCGTTAAAAAATTGTTAGTTGGAACTGTACTGACATGTAGTGTTTGTTGTCAAACATACAGTTTACAATTCTTGCCAAATTGTTTCCAGTTATAAAAAAAAAATCCAGGTCTGACAAAGGTGGTGGGATATTGTAAATGAAATACACATAGGAAGGATATAAGACCTATAGATGTATTGTCCATAAGGTGGGAGGTGCATATTAATGTACATCTGTAAGTTAAGTTGAGCATGTGTATGCTTTTCTGGAGCGTGTGTCTGTGTATACCCAGGTGGATGGAGTTAGTGTAGCATTAGAATTACGTAATACTTCATGCTGTGCTTGCAACTTGCATTTACACCTGTGAATTTGCTGTGTGAATACTGATTCCTTCAGCCAACTTACCCAGCATAACAACAGTCTTTCAGTCATAGTACTCATGGCTGAGAACCTGGCATGCTGATTTCAAAAAAAGACCTGTAGACCAGAGACAATCTGACATTAAATCAAATCAAGCCCCCTCAATAGTGGTCAAAACAGAGGTCCAATATAACCTTAGTCAGATGTGTGGACTTCTAATCAGAGCTGAGTTTTCTAGGTCCGATATCTCACACACACTCGCTCAAATAAGTAGCCCTACTTTCACGTAATGCACGTGCTGCGCCCTCGCCCACAGAGATGCACACACTTGACAGCTCTCCTCCTAAACTAACCATCCTGACAGGTGTTGTGGTTCAGCGTTTGGCTCAGACAGCTGTCCAGCCTGACGGCTCAATGCCTCCTTATCTGCATATATGGAGCTGTCAGTCAGCAACAATGCTGGTCAGCTCCACTGTAAGAGCCTTTCCGGATGTGTCGGAGTCTGGCTGTGCGCGTTTCTGGCAGCCCGGCAAAGTTGTAATAAATAGGTCTGCAGGGAATCGTCCCTGCTTGATGTTGCATATTAGATAGGTTGGATCAGAGGATTGAAAGTCAGTTGGGGGGGAAAGCAGAGTATACGTACAATTAGTTTGGAAGATGGTTGATGGCAATGGAGCCACAGGTTGTCGTGAGGCACTATCACTTTGGATGGATTTAATGAGAACCCTCTGTGGAGCCCAGAGTAGACTGATTTAGTAGTGTCTTTTAGTGCCTTTATTCTGCCTGCTGGCTCACGTCCTTTTAAATTGATTTGTTGTTCCCATTAACTGCAATTTGTCAACCTGAAATGGAGGCATCCGTGTGGTTCAGCAAACCAAGGTGCATGTCTTGTCCTCATGGCTTTGTGAGTACAGTGTTTCTCTCAAATAATGCCACATCATCATCTCTCTTCAGGTTCTTCTGTGCACTCATCACTGCACAGAAAAGCAGAAGTGTAAATGACACAGTGACTGTTTTCGTGACTGGAGTAACATGTGAACCTCCTGCTGTTCCCTGCAGTTATGGAGTTCCAGGTGCAGATCAATGGCGTCAAGGCCAAGCTCCAGGAAACCCGTGCAAGAAAGAAACAGCAGGAGGAGCTCATCATGAAAGTGGAAAACCAGGCCCTCAAAGTAAGCAGTGAACACACACTTCATTCAGAAACTAGGTCTGCATGTACAGAAACATAAACAAGAACATGCAAATGAGCTTGGAGGCAGAAGTCTTTATGCAGTGTAAGTTCTCTCAACATTGATGTGTAAACAGCTGATTACACACAGTGATGGTGGCCATAATTTTGTGTTTTTGTATTTTTAAAGCCCTAAATATTAAATTTCTCCCACAGCCCTTTACTGTATAAGCATTGCCAGAGAGGAAAAAATGTCATGAAAATTCATTGTTCTGCCAAGCGCTCTTTAGTGGAGACTTTACAATAAGTGAAACATGAGCAGACATGGCCCTTTTTATGTTGCCATTTTGAGCTCTTATTGCCTGGCGTTTCGGGACCGTCAAAGCCCCATCTCCAGTCGTTATTATCACAGTTGCAGGGAAAAGGTCAGCTGTCTCTGACTGGCATTCCAAGTGGCCTTTCTGTCAGAGAGGAGATAGTGACACAAGCAGCCCAGGAAGACACACGTTTAAAGCCATCACAATTTAATGAATCTCAGCATGTCAACTCAGACAAATCTTGTTTGTGTCTCTCCTCTCACAGAACCGCTTCCAAGCTTTGTTGGATGAGATTATTCAGCAGGAGGAGCGGGAGATGGAGCAGGTAAGAACCTTTTCGTAAAAGCCGAGGATCAGTGCTTCCTGTGAGCCTTCTACAGCTTTTGGCACTTTGCATGAATGTCAAATACCATGTTAGCAGATTGCAACGTGCAGGCTGTCCTGCAGTTTTCATGCCTAATAGCAAAGTTCAAAGTCAATCACGGGAAATTACCATCCTTTTTTGCAGTCATGGCACAGTGGCCACCCGCTGTCTTGTGTCGTTGTTTGTATTGACAAATGAAGGCAGCAAATTAATGTGAAAAGACATGTTAATCATCATCCACTTACCCTCCAATTACACCCCGGGGCTGTCGGGCATAGATCACGCCTTCTATTTTTCTGCTCCAACAGCTGGCCTCCCTGCAGGAGCAGCTGGACTCACTGATAGAGAAGTGACCACCAGGGGGCAGCCTCAAGTCATCTTCAGCCACACATTAACACAGGAGGAGGAGAAGAGCTTTCATCCAGGGAGGAGGGAGTCGTCGTTAGCTGACTTGCTGTGTCATTCCTTTCTATTTGTCGTTTTCATACATTACACATACAGCATACTGATTTCTGTATTAAAAGTCAGTGTTTTTTTATTAAGTTGAAAAAATGAGTTACTATATGATTAAAGTATTTGCTTGGCTTTAACGGTGAATATTGTGTCTGTTTTGCTTGTCATCTTAAAACTAAATGTACTCACAGCCAACTCAGTGTCCAAGAAATGAATGAACCTTCTTCAGAGACACAGTCAATATCTAGCGTCTTTATCTTCTATAATTTGCCGTATTTCCACAGAGATATGACGCTGCAGAGGATTGTTGACCTTCCACAAACACCTGTGTTGTTAGACCAGGGAGTAGAGAGACCTCAAACCCATTATTTTGTTTTCACAGGTTTACCAGCTGAAATCCAAACACACACCTTGCTCTGCTAGCTACTAGCAGCCTTTTTGAGACATATTTAGAGTGTAACAAGAGATAATGAATTATTTACACAGGATTGAAGCATTTACTTTTTCATTCCACTGTCTAATTTAGCTGGCTGTGGCACCGCCTGGTAGCACACAGTAATTTGCATCTTTGTTACTGCTGGCGTGTGTATTTAGTGTAGTGTCCACTGATCTTACTGGCTTTAAACCGTGCCAGGACAATTTACACTCTAACAACTCCTCACAATCCAGATTATACTATGAGTTTCTCCCATATTCAAGTGCTTCTTCAAGTGAGAGCTGAAATGATTAGTCAGTTTAATCATGTTTTGAATGTCTTTCTGACAATTGATTGACCAAAATTGAGAAAATAAGCGGTAGATTAATCATTAATGAAAATCTTTGATTGTCCTTATTCAAACCTTAGTTACTGTAACTGTTAAGGGCTTCCTCCTGTCCACCCACTTGTGTGATGTAATGGCCAGACAGCCACGTCACCAACATCATCACATCACCAGATTACTGTCCTTCCAGAATGATCTTAACTTATTCCCGAGTGATCTGTGCCTCTCTTGTCTACATGATTCTGGGCCCGGCAGTCCTCCCCCGCCTCTCCCGCTCCTTCCTGCAGGGATTGCCCCACCAATCGCAGGGGTAGGCGAGAGATTAGCTCCTCAGATTAAAGTGTCCACCTCCAAACCCTGCTTAATCCTGCCATCTGTCAGAGAGCAGCTAACCAGCCAAGACTCTCTCCACAGGGCTAATTAGATAGCCAGAAGAACACAGACTTAAGAGAGGAAGTACATATTGAAAACACACTTGTCTGTGTGGTACTGCTCAAGGCAGAGTAACAATGGAGGAGATGTACCTTCTGAACCTCCCCGGAGTCAGGAAGAAGATCCTGGCTGGAGGCACAGGACCGCTGCCCCACTTTCCACCTGGGACAAAGGTAGCAAGTCACAATTAACTTGATAACCTAAATTATACTAGATCCATACTTCGTATGATAGGAAATAATTCCTTGCATAATTACCATTTATGATGTAATTATTAATTAATGTTCCACAGGCAAAGTGTCTATTTTTAGCTGTGTTGCATTGCCCACTTCAATTAGATTCTGATGAATTATTCATGAAGTGAGGACATTTATTGTGTTTCTGGCACGTACACACAGAGCAAACATTTGGTCAACCAAATTGCAACATGTTATTTTGGCTCTGTGTTTGTGTTCACCCAGTGATCCGCTGGCTGGACTTTTTTCCCTTCCTAGTCAAATCCAGCCATATGGCACCAAGCCTGGACACTGACAAACATTTTCCATGACAATGCCAGCATGAATTTCCATTTACCTGTGTGTGTGTGTGTGTGTGTGTTCCCTCCCTCCCTCCCAGGTGGGGTGATTCCCAGTTGCTCACACAGTCATCATCACACCATTTGTGCACAATCTGTCAAGCTATAAATAAAAGGTGACATGGAGCCAACGTAATTTTACAGTCAGAGTGACGTGAAGACTTAAAAAAATCTTTGTAAATCTGTCACATGCACACAGACAGATGGAACGCATAATGATAACCAGCATGTCTGTGTTACAATTGAAAAATTTTCATTTTAATTATAACTGAAATCCAAGGTCTTTGAAAACATGTGAGGCTCATTCATGGACTTCATTCATGTATTTATATAAGTATAAAGAATGGACAAATTGAACACCATTATTAGATTTTGTATGTATTATTTTAAAGTATATTTTGTTGACAAATAGTTTCATTCATTAAGCTCCACCCTCTAACTCTTCCTGTCCCATGGTCCCTCCTGCTATCCCAGCTGGTTTTCAATTTCCAGACACTGCTAGACAATTTTGAGCGAACCGTCATCGATGACAGTCGACTGGCTGGTAGGCCAGCTGAGATCTTTGTCGGAAAGATGTTCAAGATGGAAGTCTGGGAGACCCTGCTGATGTCCATGAGGATCGGAGAGGTGGCTGAGTTCTGGTGCGATGCCACTGTGAGTTGAACTACAGACTTCACTCATGCACACATACATACACGGAGATATACCTGCCCCTGAAAGAGGCCCTAATAAGTGTTCATGAGCGAGGTTGGGAAGTTTTGGCTTCTGGTAATGCACATGAATCAACCTTCTGAAGCCTCCTACGTGCTCAGTATTATTAACACAAACAGAGCACTATATTTGTGCACATTTTAGTGTTTCCCATCTGCAGGAAATCTTAATTTGCAAGTGAAATTGTGGCCATTTCTTGTGTTTTCCTTGTAGGACTGATTGGCACAAGCTAGCAGCACCAGGGGGTTAGCATGATTAAGTGCTCGTATGTCTTATTTCAAACCTGGGGTTTATGTGTTTGTTGATGGGTTCATTTTGCAGCACACAGGCTTGTACCCAATGGTGTCCAAGGGAATGAGGCTGATCGCTCAAGGGAAAGACCCCCTAGAGGGCCAGAGGCACATGTGTGGCATGGGAAACATGTTCCACTATCATTCCACTGGTTTCCCAGAGCTGGATGAGCTAATGAGAACTCCTCAGCCACTTATATTTATCATGGAGCTGTTGCAGGTAAGCACCAGTGGTAATACTGTATGTATGTCACACTGGATAGCAAAAGAAGAAGATAGTGTATAACAATCAGCTGTCGTCTCATTTTTTCAATAAACATCATTTCTCAGACTTTAGCATGTGTAAACATAGGCAACTCAGTAAGAAAATACACATATACCAATTCTGTCCTCTATTGAAACACTCCTACGCACTATTTTCGAAAATCCACTGACAGTCCCAACTCTGCCTATAACATTCAGCTTTGAAATATTACAGTATCCAGAACAAGCTTGAAACTCACCAGGGGGTTCAGCAGCAGTAGCAGTAAATTAACATTTCCCCCTTCCACATAGTTTCACAATGCTTTTCCACATACAAGTTGACAACTTTTCAGTGATGGAAGAAGTACTTGGATCCTTTACTTAAGTAAAAGCAGCAATACCGCAATGTAAAAACTTACAAGTGAAAGTCCTGCATTAAAAATGCTTGAACAAAAATGAAATAGAAATGAACAATTATAAAATTATTGAGTAAACATACATAGTTTCCTTCCACCGCTGCAATTCTTTGTACCTATTTAGCATTCACTTGTGCTTCCATCGCTTTTGACTTTTTTGCTCTGCCATGCTCCCTTCCTTCCCCTGCTGCTTCCAGGTGGGAGACCCCATGTCCTACCACAGAGAGTCGTGGATGATGGAAAAGGATGAGAAGCTGCAGATAGTGCCAGGTCTTCACATGCAGGGCAATGTGCTGGTCAAGCAGAGACAATTCAGAGAGGCTGCCAGCAAGTACAAAGAGGCCGTCCTGCTGCTGAAAACAGTCCAGTCCAGAGTGAGTGAAGGGTTAGCAAAATTAGTTAGGTGCAGGCTTGTGCATTTTCAGATCTCAGGATTTTAGTTTTTTGGGACATGTAACTCCCGCTGTTTTCCAGTGGGAAATTCCTGTTTTCCTGTTTTGCTCTGCTTCACTGTGTCCCTGATTACAGGCAGTGGGAGGGATGGCAAAGGAAAGAGGTGGGAGAGCTGTCTAGGATGAGAGGGGGATGTAAGGATGGAGGAATGCTGGTGGGATAACAAGTTGTGTACGAGATATTCTGATGAGAGAGTGTAGATCTTTGGCAGCTGTAGATATCCTATATACAAGGTTGATGTTAAGAGGTATGCAGATGGTTGGCCTTTTTTGCAAACAGCTTGTGAAGATCTGTTAGGCAGAGATGATGTGTTTGGTATTATTCAGAATCCCAATGTCATGTTTAAATCCCTGCGGAAAATATGTAAACCTACAGAATTCACATCAGTTATTAAAATATGTGTAGGAGATGCCAAGCAACATATCAGCAGTGATTCAACCATCTGTGAATGTGTGTGTCTGTGTGTGTGTGTAGGAGATGCCGGGTGATATAGACTACATTAATTTGGGTCGAATGATTGTCCCCTTGGAGTTAAACTACTGCCAGTGTATGTTGGAGCTGGAGGAGTATTATGAAGTTATAGAGCACACCACCGAACTGCTGGAGAAACACAAAGGTAAGTGCCTGGTTGAACTCAGTTGGATTGAACTAATCCTTGTGTTTGGCACTGAAACACATGTTTAATTTACCTTTTCCAGGTAGAGATTACTAAACACAATTTTTCTTTTCCACTGTCAACTATTACATTCACACAGTTGCATCATTTTGTAAAAAAATGCATATTCACTTTCTTGCCCAGAGAAGAAAACAAGAGAGAAGAGAAACTTGATACCACTCATGTCTGTCAACAGCAAGCTTGGCTCTGTCAAGAAGTAAAAATACAAATTACCATCACCTATAAGGCTAGAGCTAGGGTACGGTTAGCTCAGCTTAGCATAATGACTGGAAAAAGAGGAAAAATGGTTAACCTAGCTGGCTCTGTCCAACCCAATAACTCAACCTGATCTTTGTAGTTTTTACACTTTTGTTTTGTACGGATTAAATGTGTTGATTATTGAGCTTTAGAAGTAGAGGTGGATTTTTGTTACCTTTGGAAAGAACCAGACTAGCTGTGTCCCCCTGGCTGCTTTCAGTCTTTATGCTTAGCTGCACTAACTCCTGGCTGTAAATTAATACCACTCTCATGTCTGTACGTTAAATATGAAGCTACAGCCAGGATATGGTTAGCTTTAGAGGTGCTAGTAGGCAAATATTTTTACCTTTCGAAATAAACAAGCTCACTTCCCCAGCTTCTTATCCATATGCTAAACTAAGCTAACCATCTCCTGGCTTTAGTATCATGTTCAACAGACAGACATGAGAGTGGTAACAATTTTCTTATCTATCTCTCAGCAAGAGAGCAAATTAGAGTATTTCCCAAAATGTCAAAGTGTTCTTTGTAATCAAGTACATGAAAAGCTGCCCAGTGGTGAGTAAAATGAGGGCTTGTACAGAGTTACTTCCACCCCAGAATATGAAGAGTGACAAACATTATTTTCAAAATGTTGTAAAAAGCTGACAGGTCAAGGTCTGATGCCTGTGCCGATTTTATTGCAGTGGCTGTTTCATGTTTCTGCTGTGTATTCAGTGAGAGTGTGTAGGAGAGCTGAGGCTGACATTACCAAGGGTTGGAGCAGTCCTGGGAATTGTACTGTCAAACCCATGGCTACTCATATAATCCTAGAGGAGCTCACTTGATAGCACAGTCTCTACTTCAGAACCTTACGAATTATGCCACCGAGGCAGCCTTTATTTTCCTCGGCCCCTCAGCATAGATTTCCTGCGCGTGCGTGCGTGCGTGCGTGTGTGGCAGGAGGAGGAAGGGTATAAACAGTATTGTGGAAATGACGGGCAGGAGTTTCTGAGCTCCACTGGACCAGTTTGAGCTGTCGTCACAGAGCTGCAGCCTGCTTCACAAGGCTTATAAGAATGATCCACCCAACACCAGCTTCACTCCACCTTTCCCATATTCTCCTTTTCTCCTTTTTCAGTGTCTTTAATTTCCCTTTTCTGGTACCCTCGTTTTCATTTCCCCTCTTCACAGTTTTGTTTCCATTTCTTCTCCACTTTACTTGCATTCTTCTTCTTAGTGTTGTTCCTCCTGTTGTCTGTATCAGTTCAAGTCAGCCACTCTACCGCTATTTCATCCTTTCAACAGTTTGTTCTTTAGATAAGCACCCAATGGTGGCTCACTGCAGTGTGTCTGCTTTTGCCAGAGGCGACAACGAAATCTGTCTAAATGTTGGCTGAATAAAGATTTAGCGTAGAGGGAAATTAAAATGCAGAGGAACAGAAAAACTGAGTGATCAGTGGGCCAATCAAGCACATGAGCCTATTCTGAAACAGAGGTATAATAGTGTGTGTGAGCATGTGAGCATGTCCATGAGTTTTAAGAGAATGGTTTGACATTTTAGGAAATACGCTTATTCACCTCTTGGCAGAGAGTTAGATGAAAACACTGATACCACTCTCATGTCTGTCCTTTAAGGCTACAGCTTGCAGTGAGTTAGCTTGGCTCAGCACAAAGACTGGAAACAGGGGGAAACAGGTAGTCTGGCTCTGTCAAAAGAAAACAAACCTACCAGCACCTCTAAAGCTCACTAATTAAATATATCGACTTTGTTTAAACCAAACAAAAAACACTGTGATAAACGACAATTTCACAATTTTTCAGTTATGTGCCAGACTACTACTAGGACAGACACAGTTACTGCCCACAAAATGGCGAATTGTCTCTTTTCTCACAGATAAAACAAACGAGATACATTGTGTTAATTAGTGAGAGGTGAATTTTGTTATAGTTGGGCACAGCCAGTCTAGCTGTTTTTGTACAAAGCTAAGCTAATTGGCTGTTGACTGGATTTTCAAATTTAACAGACAGACATGAGAACGGTCAAGTGTCATCTACGCTTAAGTGAATAAGTGTATATTGCAAAATGTCAAAGGCTTTAGTGAGCAATAAAGACGCAGTATGTGTGCATTTTTAGTTTGGTTTTGCAAACAGAGAAGTACACATACTGACAGTACACACCCACACACTGTCCTAAAAGCAGACAAATCACCACCTCAGCTTCAGCAGGCAGAGCAGATTTGTTATTGAATATCTCTAGGTTAGACATTAATAACTCTGTTTTTATTCATGTTATTTGTCTTGTTATTCTGTTTCTCAGACTGCGTGAAGGGCTACTATAAGAGAGCCAAGGCCCACGCTGCTGTGTGGAATGAAAAGGAAGCCCGGAAAGACTTCAACATGGTGGCCCAACTGGACATCACTCTGGCTTCTCTGGTCAATCGAGAGCTGAAGGCCCTGTCAGAGCTCATGAAGGAGAAGTACTGGGAGGAGAAGGAGAAATACTGGAATATGCTGGAGAGAAAGAAAAACAAAAATGAAGAGGAAGAGGAGGTGGAAGAGAAAGGAAACCAAGAAGATAGTGAAAGTGTGAACGCAGAGAGTAAAGAGGGCGTGGGGGAAGAAAAAGGTGAAGAAGAATCTCCATCCAAATGTGCTGAAGTCCATCAAGAGGACCTCGGAGGAAATAAGGTTAAACCAACTGAGGGAACAGGTAACGAAGAAGAAGCGACATCTTCTGAGATCAATCCAAATGCTTCCAATAAATTCGAGGGGATCGACTGGCAACAGATGTTACGACTGGTCATGTTGCTGCAGAAAGAGGGGAACTTCCTCATTAAAGAAAAACACTTTCAGGAAGCTTCTGCAAAGTTCAAGGAGGCCATAGAATATGTGGATGTCCTTCAGAATACGGTTAGTTTAATTGATTATATAGTGGCGCTGTGTTAAAGCATTCAACAAAGGAGTAGTATTTTTGTGGAAAATTAAATGTAAAATAAAACCCTTTATGATGACAATGATTGTCGAGATGGATATCAGGATTGATGTCGGCCATATTAACAGCCTTTAGTCCATTGTGGTTGGTAAACTATAATCATCTGCCATTGTTGCCTTTTTAGTGGAGAGCAGCTGTGGCATTGTAGGTATGGTGGCGAAGTGAGGAGCAGCGAAGAGAGTGCTAAAAATAACAGCCATCCACAGAGATATCATGTTGACAGCACTTGCCTGAGCTTCTTTTCTCTTACTTAAACTCCCTCACTTCTGCCACACTCACACCTTTCGCATACAACAAACTCCCTCTTCCCGTCCACCCACCCTCTTCCATTTCATTCCTCCTCCTCCTATTTGTACAATCCTCTACCATTTACTGCATCTCTGTATTGTCTTCAGCATCCAATCTCCTTTATCATCCCTCTAAACCCATGTATTTTCTTCCCTCTTTTTGTTGTCACACATTTTCATTTTTGTTTCAACTTTTCGACATTTCCTCTGCCATCTATCACCGCCACCTCCTCATCCTCCCATCTTGTCCCCTCTGTGTACCCAGCAAGTGGATCAACAGGGAGAGGATTGGCAGTCGCTGGAAAAAGTGCGCCTTCCGCTGACCCTCAACCTCAGCCAGTGCTTGCTGGAGCTCAAACAATACCAGCAAGTGGTGGAGCTCAACAACAAGCTGCTGAAGAAGCATAAAGGTAATACATGTTAGTTTGAAGATGGAGTGTGAGGCAGGGTAGGAAACAAAAAAGACATATTTTGATATAGAAATAGGTACATGAGTATATATAAACATGCTCGGCTTTAGTCTTTTTTTTTTTTTTCTTACCCAGCTTCGTTTTTAAGCTTGAAAATATCAAGATCTGTTGCTAGTACAAATGCCTGGCCCTCAGCAAATGCCTGCCTTCCCACTGCAACAATCCTTGATCTCTGTGTTTACCAGGGAAAGAAGGAACCAAACATTTACAACCGCATTGCTGAGTCTCTCTTTCACTCCCCTGGCACACACCCATGGACATCACAGTCAAAAATGAAATCATTGTTTTCTTTGTTTCTGCTATGACTGAATTATTTATAGTTGAGGCTGACGTGAAAAGGTTGTTATGCTTTCCTTTTCCCTTCATTTACTTCTCTCCAACTTTCTCCATCTACTTTTTCTGTTTCCTGTCTCACCACTGGTTTCAGTGCAGTTACTCATCCTCCCTCTAGTAATTTTATTTTACCTTTTACTTTTAATTTTGCTGCCTCTGAGTTTTATTCTTGCTGACCTCCTGTTCCCCCCCAAACCTTTTCTCCTACACCATAGGTAACTTTAAGGCGGTGTACCAGCGGGCAAGAGCACACGCCGCATTGTGCAACGAGGATGAAGCTCGGAGGGACTTTGGTATGGTGGAGAAATTGGACCCACAATTCAAACCCTTCGTCCGCCAGGAATTAAAAAAACTGTGTGAGAGCATGCGTACGGTACACGCCCGCCAGAATAAGACTTACTGGGATACGACGCAGGAGAAGTGGGGGCCTGGTGGAAGCAAGTCAAAGAGTGCAGCAAGAAAGAAGAACGTCAAATTCTCACAGAAGGCCACTGAGGAAAAAACTAAAGCAGATAAGAAGACAGAGGGCAGTAAGATAGAAGGCAAGGAAAGCTCAGAGAAACCCGCCCCTGCTGAGACAGAGGGAGTGGATGAAGCAGAAACAGAGAAAAATCCAGATGTGAAAACAGAGCAGAGCAATAAAGAGCTAGAGAGTGGGAGAGCGAGTGGAGAGGGGTTAGATGATGAAAACATGCAGAGTGGCGTGGTTCATGAGGACAGGCAGGGTGCACCAGATAATCGAGCAACGAATAAAGATAGCGATCCCGCTCCCACCAGCACAGGCACAGATAATGTAGTGAGCAAGAGATCGGCGAGCGATAAGGGCAGAAAGAAGGTCAAATGCCAATCAAGTGCTGCACTGGGCCCAAGCAGAACAAGCCAAGGGAACAAAGCCACCAGTGATAAAACAGCAAATGGTGGTACTCAATCAGCATAGCGCAATGGGTTGGAATTGTCTTGTGCAGAGCCGAAGGGTAAGCTGAGGGCAGAGAGACAAATCCTAAAAAAGAACAGCACTGTGGATGTAGAAAGTAAAACAAGACAAGTAATAAACAGCCAAGCCTCAAGTCTCAACAGGAAATATTGATTCTGCTACATACACATCAAAATATAAACACATTAATATAAACAGTCACATTTGGCACCATTCTTTTAGTTTCATTATTAAATTCTCAAAGGGATAACTGCAGCCACATTTTTTTTTTTTAAAGCACAGGCAGACAAGGAGTTTGCCAAATACAAAGTTTTTATTTCTGTACACAAAGAGTAGAAAGCAGCCAGTAACCCACTTGTTATTACAGTAAAAAGCCTTTCTTCAGAAAACTTTTTATACAGATTAAAAACTCCAGAGAAAAGACAGCAAGAAGTGTTTGAGTGTTGGACGATAACATCAAATCAAAACCATTAAACGAAAAACATTTGCACGATTAATGAGGTATATTAATGGTGATACAAAGAAAAAGAAACCTCAGTTCACCAGTAAGGTATGAGTGTGTGTCTATGTGTTAGTGTTATCAACACTTTGTTTGAGGTTAGGTGAATCATAGTCCTGATGTGACATACAAAACGCACATGTCCTTATTACAAGCTTAGGTGCATGATAGCAAACAAGGAGGGTGTGACGCAAAGGACAGGAGAGTAATGATCGGAGCTGTTTGTATTTTGGCTGGCTACATGCGGTAAGAGAAGTCTGGGGAGTGATAGCAGTGTCCTCGGGGGTGACTCGCCTTTGTGAAGAGCCTTCTTTTTTTCTTCTTCAATCACACAGCTTCAGTCACGCCACAGGGAGCAGGGTATGTTTTAATGTGTACAGGGAGCTACCACCAGTATAGAAATTTGAATGGGTCAGACCTCAGATGATCACATAGTCAAGAGATGAGACTCTGTGGGACTCCCCTGCAGCTGGATGACCATCAAAGTCAATGCGGGTGCTGGTATGAAACAGAAGGAGAGTGAAATGTGGGGACAAACTGTGTATAGTAATTTAACCGACTAGTGTATTTATTTCAACCTTCCTCCTCTATATTGGCTTAAAATAAACTGTAAAATGCAACCCTACGGGGAATGTCTCCTCTTCTTGTCTTTTTTTTTCACACTGCCACTGTTATATCATTTTTGTGTACCCACATACAAAACTATGGCGATAACTGTGTGAGGCTGCCGGGTGATCATCAATTTGTAATGAGATGTGTGAATACTAATAAATAAATGTCTATGAATAAACATTGCTTGTCATGGCTTTTTTTCCCCCCTCCACCCACGAGCCGAGCGGCTGCTCTTTCTTCTGAGAGCTTTGCCAAAACAAGTTCTTAAGCGATGCCGGTGTGGAGATGGATTCAACAGATGATAGTGATTATCCTCAGCAGCTACACAGTGGCAGGTGAAGTGAAGAAGAGGGCAGTGGCGCTCTCTCTTGCTTCCCTTAAGGCTATTAGCATTTGTATTATGAACAGCACATCAACATGTGGACTCAATGAACTCACAAACCCGTGGTACTGCGTCCTTGGGGACAGTTCCCTAGCAACAGTATCAAAACTAACAGGCATCGGGTGCTGAGGAGGATGGTGTCAAAATGTGAGCACTATGTGCCTGGCGGGGTAGCCCGTAATGTATGCAGCACATGGGTTTCAAACTCATGTATGTGAGGTCAGTGTCGTTTTAAGGATGAAGATGAATTCCTAACTGTGTATATCTCTGTGTTTTCCGTGGGAATGAGGCGATATGATTGCCAAGAAACACTCACAGCTTACTTGTTTCAGGCAATCTCTTGTCTTGCTTCTGGAGATTTTGCTGTGGCAGGCACATCAAAGTGGCTCTCTCCCACCAGCCCTTAAGCAATGAATGGATTGTTTTTTTTCTCCACCTTTCCTCTCTTGTCTCTCAGATACACATTTCTGTTTTTCCTGTTACTCCAAATTAGCCACCGACCTGTCCAGGGACACACAAATGCATGCCTGATGCAGCCTCCTTACCTGAATGTAAAACATGATGGAGGGGGAAAAAAGTCCAGAAACTAACTCTTGTTTCCTATGGATTCATTTTGGCTTCAAGGCATTAATTGACTGTGCTATGTTTAGACTAGAACACACCCTCTGACCCTGACACGATGAGGGCAAAGTCGTTTCAACCACTCGTCTTTTTGTAAATCTAAAAGCAATTAAGTACGCATTAGCAAGAGAAAATGAGGCATGCAGAGTCAATAGCTACTGTTCTTTTAAAATCTACATGGATAGGGGGGATTATTAAGGATGAAATCAGTGTAGGACCGCGTTATGGTGGCTTGCCTTGTCCCCCCTGTAGTGTCTGGAATTGGCCTAGCAGAGAGCAAGAGCATCAGCCTGGCAGCACTATCGCCTTGAGCTTCATCCTTCTTTTTCTCTGCACACACCAAGATTTCCTCAACAAAAAACAATTTCCGTCACGATATAAATTGGCTCAAAACTGAGAGTTTATCTGAATCCCGCAAGACAAAGATAAAATCGATCTCCAATTTTTTGGGAGTGCATGTAGTCTGTACTGTAGAAAGGGACTATGGATTTAGCAGCATACGTGTTTGCACACGTACGGTGAGTGCAAGTGTTTCTGTATGAGCATAAAGGGCTCACATAGGGGAGGTGAGCAATGAGAGCGACAAGCAGTTTGAGAGGATTAGAAGAACACAGTGTGTGCATACAGAGGCGCTGTGCTAGCGGGCACTTTGGCTGTCTTAAATAAATCATGGATTTAAATGATGATGTGTCATTCTCACAAAGTAAATAAGCTTGTTGTGGGTGCTGTCAACTCCATGACAATCTGCACCACACAGCCACATGAAATGCTGATCTAGTTGACACTAGCAAGCTTTAACGGACCACCTCCCTTCAAAAATAACAACCATGATAACACATTCAAGGAGAGAAAAGAAACACAAACACTGAAGATACAGGCATCCTGACAAAACAAGGGGATATTCTTCTTGTTCCTTTTTGCACTTTTTAAAAGTTCTTTTCATGGAGGGTCCGATTTGTGCTGTGGACTGATATAAAGCTTCACACCTCCAATCAACTACACAGATACTGGTAAGCACAGTGTCTTGGTTGGGCATCTTCCTTTACTTTAGTCTCTCCCTGACCTGCTGCTAACATTAGTTTCCTTTGGCTCGTTAACATGGTGTCAGGCTGTGCCACTGAAGTTACGAAGCGCAGCCCGGCCAAACGGACATCAGCGTGAGCCTTTAGTTTGCATGAAAAAGGCTTTTAGTGCACAGAGTTCCAGTGGAGGATTAGCTCTGGGTATCATAGCTGCTGTAGTGGTCACACAGCCTGGTGTATTGTGGCCTGACCTCAGCCGTATGGAGCTCCTCCCTCTGCCATCAGGCGTCCTTTCAGGCTTTTACTCAGCTCCTCCAGGCCCACTCGGGGTTAGATGTGTGAGGTGGTGCCTGAAATTGGGAAATAGAAGAAGAGCAAAAAAGAAAAGCTTTTACAATTTTAGGAACACATGCACAAGACTGAGAAAATGTTCTTGGTTATAACTAAGAAGGCTATAATTATTATAATCCTTTCTTTGTTCAAGTTACAGGCTTTGGGCTGCCCAGCAAATTGCATTTAAATGCGATGGTCCACTTTCTTTCTCTATTCTGCTGAGTCTCTCTTTATCTTACTCGTCCTGTCTGCCATTTAATCTCCCTGTCCCCCCCTCCGGCTATCGACCCGCAGCAGTTCATATTTGCTCTCCTCTCCATCTCTCCCTCTCCCGTGGGTGATGGAAGAGCAAAGAGTCCGTCTATGAAGCGTGGGGTGCCGCAGCTGCTACGATCCGTGCAGCCATAGACAAACTCACCAGGTTCTGACGGGAAGACGTTTCTCAGCTGCTCGATGACCTCCTGGAGCTGCAGCACCGTATCCTGTTCGTGCTCCATATCATCTCCTGACACAAACACACACACACGGGTGCACACACACACATACACAGAATGTTATACCTTTATGAATGGTTAGGGGTGGGATGAGAGGGGAGGGTGCATGGTTTCACATTCAAAGTGCGTGCATGTGTCAAGGCCATATCTGAGCCTGGCTACATGGCGCTGACCTGCTGCTTCAGTGTCAGTGGTCTCTCTGCTGGCCGGCTCCCCGTGGTGACCCCCCCCAGACACAGGAGAAGACAGGGTTGACGGTTCTGATCCGTTGGCCTCCGAATCATCTTTGGGCTGTTTATAGGAAAGACTGATTTTTATTCAATCCAAATAATTGCTCATACCCATCATGTGTCAGGCCACAAAGACATTTAGCCTTCCACAAAGTAATGAATGCGATTTTAATGGCACTCAGCCAGCAGTCCTCGACTGGCATCTCTAGCTGAATTATTTGCCAATTGCCAAAAAATGCCAATTTTGCCCCACAGCTGTTAGACAAAACCATCAGGTTAGTGTGATTTGTGCTTTGATAGACAGATAAAAAGATGGTGAATTTCACTGCACACAGCAGCATTGCAGGAAACACACTGACAGCGTTGGGGGAAGGTATCAAATCAAAGATGCATAATTGGGGATATTCCCAGATACCACATGTATGCAACCCACCGTCTTTTGTGTTGCTTTTAGTAACACTGTAGCAAACCTCAAGGGGTGAGTAAGTTTAGTAGTTGTGGTGAAACTGGGGTGTCTGCAGAGATTGGAATGAACTCATTCATACACTTGCAGAGACTACAAAGGCAGATTTTACTGGGAGAAAAGGAATTGAATAGCTTTTTTTCTAACCCAGGAATGTGAGCCCTGTCCTACTCTGCCACAGGCTCTTTTCTCTTCACTCTCAATTTCCAAGTCTTCGACCTGAAGAAATATCTTGTCCCTGTTTTTCCTCTTTCTTTCTCCTGTTCTCACTCACTCCCTTTGCTTTCTCTTTATTCAGTGACCTGCATGCACAATTTGCGTCTGTGCTCCCGCTGCTAACAATTTAC